GTTGTTGCTGTGGTAACGAGTGAAGTTAGGCGGGCAGTTGTTGGGGAAGTAGCCGCTCTGCCACTTGCAGGCATCCTGCACTTGCATCCTTACGTTCCTGCTGCCATAGCAACTACTTTTGCGCAGGCACTTTCTTATCACTTGCAATTCTTTAACTGTAAATGTGTATGTGTGAGTGTTTTTGTATTTATCTCTCGTTGTTTGTGCTAGCCGCAAAATAAATTTCTGCTTGCCTTATGTATCTTCCAGCGCTAAAGCGAAATGTTGCAACATTTTTCTTGCACATTTTAAACTTCGGATTATTTTGCTGGCCAAGCGGTACACTAATTCAATGAATTATTTATGTAGCAGTGGCAAAACAACACAGAGCTTATATAATATATTACAGCTCAGCAAGAAAAGTAGCAGCTGATCAGGTTGCAGTGTTTTGCCACTGCTGCATTTGACTGCACTATTAACGACTTCTCTAAGTAAATGAATAATGCTTGCTGATTTTTGAAAGTTTTTTTGGAAACGAAAAAAATAGTGCGGTTTAATGTTTAGCTGAGTTATTACTTAGTTAGGAACCTTTTCTTGAAGCTTTGATTGGTTAGCCAGCGCTTTAGTAAAAATGAGTAAAAACATGAGAAAGTCCAAAATTATATTATTGGAAGTATTTGATACCAAAATTATTTTTGAGCGAAGGTAACAAATCATGTTAACTTTTTCTCAGCAGCATTTCTAGCTTTTTAGAATCTCTATCTTGATTTTTATCGATTGATTTGAAGTGAACTCCACAGGTATGTTATAGTAGTCATAATTGACCTGATTTTTTGGAGCATTTATAACTGCTTTAGACAATGATCTATGAAAAATTGTGTGAAGATAACTTAAGGACGCTATGAATAGCAATTTGTGCCAAACCTTATCAACATATTTTAACAAATATAAAATACAATGACTTAGATGCGAAGTGGTTCGTTCAGAATAAGTTTTTCGGAGATTGTAACATTACTCTGAACTCATTCCAAATTTCTTTATGATATCTCTGTAGTAGATAAGACTATTTCTCACTTTTAAAACCGTCAAAAAATCGATATTAGGTTGAACAAGGGAATATAACTTCAAACTGAGTTAATAGTACAAGTTGTAAAATATAAATAGTACAAGTTAAAAAGTTTTCAAAAATTGTAAAAATAGAAAGAAAACGATATGTTCAAAATACGTTCCCATATTTGTGTAAGCCTTTTCCTATTCTTCGTCACTCTTCGCTTTACTATACATTAAATATTATGCAAAATGTGGGGAAGAAATTCTATTAAGTTACACTTTGGCTGAGGAAAAGAGAATTTAAACTGAGAAAAAATTACTGAAAAAAAGGAAATCATAACTGAGCCCCATAAAAATATGTTTGAGTAGGGAAGGTTTGGTAATAAGTTCTTAAAAACGAATTATCTATCTATCCGCGCCGATATTATTCTAAAGGTGCGCTTATAATAAATCTATGCCCCATCTCAGTACTCAAACACATTTTTTTTTTAATACACTAGCTGAAGTAATAATTATTGTTAGAAGCACTAAAACAAATAAAATCCTGTAGAAGGAATTCTAAGAAAAATATTTTCCTAAAAGCGGTTTATCTAGATACCATATTTTTTTTCAGAACATTTTCGCATACCAATCCAAATATAGTATCAGCCTAAATGTAGACTACATTTTAGTACCATCAGTAATTTTACCCAAATCGAGACTACATTTCAGTGCTCAAAGTGATTTTTAGAAATTATAAATTTTATACTTTTGTAACATGTTGCTACAGAGTATAATAGTTTTGTTCACATAACAGTTGTACGTATCACCAAAAACTAATCGAGACCACGAGTTGAAATCCGGGTGACTGTCTGCCCAGTATAAGCTACAACTTGAGCGAAAATTGGGATATCTAGTCAAGTCAAAAGATAAAGTTTTGTTTGTCAGTTGTCTTCGGTTTTCGAAGTTCCGACCGGCCAAACTGTCAACAAGGAATACTATTTGACTATTATACGTTGTGTTCGCGAGGCTATTCGTAAAAAGAGACCGAAATTATGGAGCGAGAACTCTTTGTTTTGCTCCACGGTAATGCACCATACTACATTGATTCTTCTTGAATTTTTCCCCAAATTTTCAAACCACTTTATTTACCTGATTTAGCGTTTTCTTCACTATTGAGTAAACTCAAAAGATCAAATGTTTAATTGCAAAAAATAAAAAATAAAAATTATTTTTATTGTTATTAATTTTATAGTTATTATTGTAGGAAATATATTCATTACGTAATACTTTTGGCAGTTCAAAAATCTTTACCAATTCTTTTTCAGATTTTGATAACTTTGTAATGGAAGCTCTGGAAATGAACAAACACAAAATTATAATATAATCTTCTCTTCAAAATATCAAATTATATAATTTTTACTTACTCAATAGATAACCCATTTAATATATTTAAAGGGATTCGTTAACAAAATTCTGTCTTTACCTTTTCACCATTTGATTTCATATATTGTTTTTTAGACTCCTCGAAACGCTTTTGCCTAAGAAAATTCATATACTTCACCCCCAACCTCCAGCTGGCCAGTTGGGTTTGTGCCACCAATGCTTTAAGCTTAAGTATTATCGGTTCGTGCATGCCTTCAAATAAAATTTATTCGCCTCTCAAACATTTTTCCACTACACTTTACCGCAGTCAAGTTTGAAAATTTATGCGCACATTTGACAATTTATGAGTGGCAACCAATATATTTGAAGGCGGCACTGCCACCCAAAAGAAGGCACGCGGCATGCGAAAACATTGAAAAGGGTGCTTATGTATAAATTTAAGGCTTTAAATTCGACGGAAAAGTAGGAAATGGAGCAATAAAAAACTAGCCACGAAATAAAGTGGGGCGCTGTGGGCAGCAGGCTGTAGTGATATATGAGCAGCCGCACGTAAAGAACGTTCTTCGACATCTGTGTAACTCATGCTTAAGATGGTTAGCCGCTTACGTTGCTTACGATGCGGGCTTATGCCACTAATGTGGTTTAGTGCTGTTATTTCTTCACTGATCTTGTATTTTCTTGCTTTCTTTGCGCTTATTTATATACACTCAAGAGGTGCGTGCTTACATACGCAGTTAACGGCATATACGTAAACAGTTATCAACTTATTTATGTGCTCATCGCTGCTTATATGATTTGGTAATATCGTATATTAGGCACTCATTATTTCTTGCTTAGACGATAATACAAACGTCAAGTGGATTATTATTATTTATTTTCACATCTGTGTCATTCCCGTTCACGCAACGCAACGCAACGCAACGCAAATTCAAAGCGGCAACGCTTAAGTGTTGGTCGTTAGTTGTAAAAAGCCACCAATCACACACGTCGCGCACAAAAGTATACTTTCAGGGGCGCATAAGCCGCCTTATCACTTACCCTATGCCGTTAAATATGGCAATCATGTGTCTTTTCCCTTTTACGTGGGTAGCGGCAGCACTCTTTTCGATTTTCTCTTCCGCCTGTGTACGCTGAGTTCTTTCTGTATGTGCCGTTTACATTGTCAAAATCAGCTGATTGAATTTTGATTTATGACATCACATGGTTGGGCAAAGTGAAAACATGAAGGCATACAGCACCGCAAAAGTCCACAGTAAATTGGGTCTTAAATCGTTTGCACACATCGAGCTGAAAGCTCGTAGCTCGAAGGCGTTTTTCCATATAACTGTTACACTGAAAAGAAGAAGAAGAAGAGTTGGAGTTGTGTGTAAATAGTTGTGACAGCTCAATCACATCTGTGTGCGCAATCAGGCGCATATTTCGAGCAACCTTTCCTTTCACTCTCGGCCTCGGCAGTACGCAACTTTGTAGGAGTTGAGGGAAAAGCGATTTTTGCTAACAACATTTGTAGTTGTTGTTAGTGTGGCATTTTTGTGCCTTTTGCACACAATATTTATTGATTGTTCACATATTTTATTCGTGCGCGGCACGCATCTAACAACATTTGTGGAAACCCAATCCAGAAGGTTAATCACATAATTTGGTGGAACATTCATATTTGCGGATTTACTACGCTTGTATTGCGCCAAGATGCCGAGGAGTTAATTATAACACTTTGTTATGATTTAAGACGTCATTATGGGTTAGACATACGTAGACGTAAAGTACTAGGTTTGGTTGTTTGGAGATAAGTAAGCGTTTATTGCGAATGGAACGAGTTCTTGCTGGAATATTTGATTTTCTTAAAGCAATTACAGGACTTATAGGAAATATTGAAACTATCGATCGTATGGCAGCTATATGCTAAACTAGTCCGATCTGAATAATTTCTTCGGAAATTTTAGCTTTGCATGTGAGATTTATCTGTACTAAATTTCGTGAACATATCTCTTCAATTAGAAAAATTTTGTTACAAGGACATGATTTTGATAGTTCAGTTTGTATGACAGCTATATGTTATAATTGTCCGATCTTCAGAGAATATTCCGCTGTCTTAAATAATAATCAGTATAAAATTTCCTCATGATATCTCGCAAAACAGGAAAGGTTTTCTTATGTGAACATGATTTTAATAGTTTAGTTTGTATGACAGCTATATGTTATAGTAGTAGTTTTTTTTTTTTTTTTTTGAGAATATTTCGCTGCTATACATATGCATGTGAGCCAAATTTCACGATGATATCTCGTCAAATGGTAAAATTGTCTTTACAAAAACATAATTTTGGCTCTTGAATTTGTATGACAGCTATATGCTGTAGTAGCCCCATATCGTCAGTTCCAACATATAAGCAGCTTTATGTGTAGGGAAGGACGTATGCAAATTTTCAGAGTGATATCTCGAAAAGTGAGGGAGTCTGTCATTTTTTAATTTGTTACAAGTATTGTTCCAAATTTAGCATATCTTGTTCAGGCTATTAATATATAAACAATATCAATAAATTCCGCATATTTAGTATTTTAATAGTTTCAAATCTTATAATTTCTATTTATCTTTCTTCTCTTTGCAGTTGGTCTAGCAGGATATCATGAAAAGAGACTGCTACATGATCTATTAGATCCTTATAATACTCTAGAGCGTCCGGTTTTAAACGAGTCGGATCCATTACAATTAAGTTTTGGTTTAACTTTAATGCAAATAATCGATGTGGTAAGTACTTTGAGATTTTTAGTAAAAAAAAAAATTTTTAATAAAATTTGTCTTAAGTTTGACTAAATTACTTTTTAAATGCGCGTTATTATCTTATTGAATCCATATTTCTCTAAATACCTTTAAAGAAGGGTTCAAAAATATGCGACATCCTAAATGTAGGCAAAAGTTTAGTATACAAACATTTTTGGGTCTTGTATTAAGGTGTTATATATAGTTAGAAGGCCGACAATAAATGGAATTGTCCAAAAATGTCTACACATTTTATGGTACCTTCTAACTATATTTCAAGGGATTTCCGGGAGCTCATCTCAAAACAGAGAAAATTTGGTGTGTCTTTATTTTAAATTTGTATAAGTTATTTCCACCTGCTACTTCCTGCTATTTCTGAAATGCTTGCTATAATGGTTTAAAAGACTGCGGTATCCTAAATGTAGGCAACAGTTTACTATTAAATATTTTTTGGGCAACATATATATTATAATAGATACCAACAGAAAAATGGCTGTGCCTGGATTTTAAGTTTGTGGAAACTATTTTCTAAGTGCTTTTTCTGAATTGCACGCTATGACGATTTAAAAACTAGCGACATCCTGAATGTAGGCAACATTTTAGAACTCAAAAATTTCTTAGATTTAACATAGGTATTCCAACAAAGTCTTAATATCAAAAAAGACTAAAATAAATTAGGATCAAAAAAAAATTCAGTAGTTATTGAAAAATTATTTCTTCCTTGCCAACTTCAATATATTTACATACCAACAACAAATATTTTAATTAGAGCAGCCCAACGACACCCTTCACCACCAAAACACTCCCATAATATGATGACTTTATATAGAAATGTACTCAGTAAAGTTAGTGGGCGCTAAGCCCGTCGAGCAGTTGAATATTCAGCAGCAAATTGTTTGTGCGCCTAAAAATAGGCTTAGCAGGAAATCAAAAGAATTAAAACGAACACCTAGTCAACTACAAGTTTAATTGCGCTGACGTGATCCACTAAAAAGCAGCAGCAAGATAAACAGCATAAAAGAAGGAACAATAAAGGAACACAGCTGCGAAGCGCGCAAGACAAGGAACGACAGGGATAAGTGCTGAGACATTTAATGTGTACATATGTTTATGCGCATAAAAGTATGCTTGCAGGTTTACATGCCGCTTTCACTTATCTGCTATGACTGAGCAAATGAAGTTGAAAAGTGAAAGTGAAATTCCGCTTAATTATTTTCACAGACACTTTAGTGAATGAACATGAAGCGCACACTTACCCAAACATGCATAAATATGGCACATATACACATTCGCATGCCGTGGAAAATATTATGGACCGTCTATGTGCCTTCATACTTTTGCTTGCTGTCAAGCGAAATTTGTATGCGCTGCCATGTGCCACAGCAAAAACAACCGTTGCGCACAATTGGCAATAGAAGCATGAATGAAAGCACTGAATGGGCGACAAGTGACAAGCAGTCACGTTGTCGTCTTCACCTGGACGGACTAATAAGCCAAGCCCCAAGGAGCGCGCTACAAATAGTGGGACAAAAGGGAATAAAGTTACGGCATAAGTGTGCGATTGTCTGTATGCATGGGTGAGAGTGTTGGCAACATCAGAGGAAATAAAATAGAGTTGAATGGGCAACAAATGAGGAGCTGGAGTAGGTGGCAGTTGGTAGGCAGCGAGCAAGGTGAGGGAGTATGTAGCTAGGTCACAGATTTAAGCAATGGAAATGGCATTAGCGTGCGAGAGAGGGCGAAAATCCAGAAATAGCTGGAAGGAAATTGTATTGGGCGCAAGCGAATCGAGCACAGGCGACACAGCTGCCTGGCGTTGGAGTGACGTAGTTACCTGGCAAAAGCGTGCTTATATGCCGGAAAATAAATATTGCATCCACTCAGCGTTGTCTAGGTGTTAGAATCTGGTACACTGACTCTTGTCAACGTGTGACGGCGTGTGTGTGTGTAGCAGCCCAACCTCAATTCATAATAAATGTTTTTTATTTCGCGTTTATGCGCTCATGTGCTCATAAAACGTTACGGAAGCAGCGCCAAATCACATAATAAATGAAGTAAGAGACGAAACCGAGTGATTTTAGCAAATAAACAGATGAATAAGTGAACGCCAGCAGGAGCTTTCTTATGCGAAGCTATGCACCTACGCATACACATACGTTAATATTAAATGGAAATAAAAATCAGACAAGCAAATAGACGAGCGAATTTTGTTTGTTCACACCTTAATGAGCCTGTGAAGACAGCGGGTGCCAAATAAAATAGCAGAAATGCAGGCATACTATCGTGCAGAGTTTGTGGATAGTCACAAAACTTGGCAGCTCTTAATAGGTTTTACACTAAAAAAATTCGTTCATAGCTGTAAATTGACAATATTGAAGTTGACCTTACTGTTATTGTACCAAACATGATTACACATTGGTTGTCGAAAGTACATCCCAAAAAATTCCTGGGAAATTCCGGTTACGCAGATCCTCTATTTTTGGTGTACAGACCTTGGAAATTTTCAAGTTAACAAGCTTAGGGTAGTCAAAAAATTGGTTATGGATTCTTATACGACAAATTTCAGTGCAGAAAAACTTTTATTTCACATTTGTACCCTATGAGGCTCACCAAGATATTTGTAGGACTCAAAAGCAAGCAATTATGTATTCATATAAACGATCATCTCAACAAGAAGACTCTTCTCTTCAGTGATTCCCGTCGTTCTTTCGGTCTATTTAACGGCAGTGGACTTCAGCCTATAACTGCCGTACAAACTGATCGATCGGCCTCATGTGCTTATATGGAAGAATTTTTCATTTGATGAGACTTGTTTACCAAACCAATCTGGAGAAATAGTGTAATTTTCTAAGAAATTTTTCAGATCGGATTACTATAAATACGCCAAACTGAGGTTAACGTTTTTTCTTCTTTTCAATTTTCAAAGTTCATGATTTAGGTTAATCTGGTAGCACACAACGAAACGCATAGACAAATTTGGTTCTTTGCGATACCAGATGGAGTTCAATTGCTAACAATAAGAGCAACAGTCATCGTTTAGGATGCCTGCGCGTGACGAGAATTTTGGCAGACTCTGCGGCCTCATTATCAATACCTCCTCCAGTGTATCATAATAGGGACCCCAGATGCTTACAGCGTAGTCTTGTCAATGAGGGAGAAGTGTAAAAGAGATTCTCCATTTTATCTTTGGTGCCCTGCTCTAAGCATTTCTTGCAGTATTTTCGATCAGCCACATCTTACGGCCGTTTGCCGCCACCAGGCAGCGACCGGTATCACCACAACTACTGCAACCCATCAACATTATCGATATACGACCGATATTCCAATCCGCTTCGTTAGTATGTTGACTCCCATTTCGAGTTTTTGTTGCGGGAGTCTCTACCTTTAACGTTTTCACCTACTGCTGATGATGCATATAAAACAGTCCAGCATAAGAAGATGATATAGTGTGCTCAAAAGATATAAGAAATAATTTCTTCTTCTTTGGCAGTACAACTTTGGGTTGGTCTTGGCTTAGGACACAAAATTTCACCAGTTTCCATTATCCTTCGTGAGTTTCATTATCTTCATCGCTCATGCGGATGGCTTCGGAGTTTGCGGAGGAGGATTAACTCGAATGCTTTTTCATCTCAGTTCGTCATCGTCTATGTTTCTGTGCCATATAATAGGACGCGAATATTGATAGATTTAGAAAACATAGTTCTTGTTCGTCGAAATGGATCTTCTTATCAATTGACTACGGATTCAAAATTACCACTTATTGGACGAATTGCGTAGGAACTGCGTAATAATTAGAGCAGTACAGCAACGGTATTCAATATTTGCTGACATCCTTGTGATGAGCTGATGTATGCGGACAACAGCGAAGTGTTGCCATTTTTGTCATAAATTGCGGCTAAAAAGTGACGGTAGGTTGTCATGCTGTTACAATTGTTGACAAATTTACAACATTGCTAACGTGATTACCATCTCGGATCTTTATTCTGCGCTTGCTTTGTAGACTTAGTTTTTTGACGGTTTTATGTTGGTTTCGAGAGGACAGAACTGTGTTCATAGCTGCCAACAATATTTAATTGACTAGTTTCCGAGACGTAAGAAATCTTTATATGTGGCTTTTAGTTACTGTGTCTTGTCCTCGTTCTCCACAAGGCCAAAGTCCTTCGCTCTTTTGCGCTGTCCCAATAACAGTATGTAAAGATGTTAGAAATCTGAACGAGTTGCCCATTTGTATTGACTCCATAAGTATAATAGATCCACCAAATAACTTATCATCTATGGCGACAACTTAGAAGTGAATCAACATAAATGCTTCTAAAAATACAATGATTTCAAAGCATAAAACAAACAATGTTTCAGATATGGAGTATTAATGAGCCAGCGGACGACCCGAACGGGTTCAAGTTTTGACATGTGTAATATGTATATCCTCTGGTAGTAGAACACTGCCCTAAATATCAAAGGCTTTCACTTTCATGCTTTCACACGTTACCTACAATAAAAAAGCAAGCATCGGCATCCCGGTGCACTTTTACTTTATTCACCGTGGCTTTACCCCAACGGCACTTCGCACTCGCCAAGTTGAGCTTCCTGCTTTGTCTGTGCGCTGTGCATGGACGTGTTTATGTGTGTGCAAAGGCAACTCATTCAGGATTTTTAGTTTGGTTTATCTGCTTTAGATGCGCTTCACTAAAGCATTTGTATGAATTTGCAGGTGTGTGTGTTTCTCTGTGATTTGTTTATTTCAATAGAACCCTCAGGAATACTCTCTCATGTCCACTACATATGCAGCTTACAAACACCTTTTCACGCTTCGCAGCGTAATACATACACGCTCACATACATATACATACTTGTATATGCAGTGCATGTTTTTTTCGAAGCGGGAATGAAAGCGGAAAAATAAAATAAATTTCAACGTTTTTCTAAAGGATGTGTTGACAATTTTCTGTTAAACTCTGGCGAAATTTGTACAATTTCATTCACATCAA